CATAACATGCTCCTTTGACATGCTGTTCTAGTAGGTGGGAAAATATTGGAAATCTTAATTCAGATCTGAATCTTTATCTCACTTGACGTCTTTTGCGGTGATGGGTAGAAGGCATGGGGAGGCGGACTGGACTTTCTTTATCTGGTCCCCCAAAGACCTGGGAGAGAATGGGATCGCGAGTGGTCACTCACTACACTACCTTTCCCGCGGACGGCTGGCACCGGCGGTCAAGGAGCGATGCGCGTTTGTGGTGGGAATAGGTTTCTGTTGGTCTCCTCAATAGTAGCCGGTACTTTAATGAAGTATTGTCCGGCCTTCAGGAGAAGGAGAGCCCCAGTCGGGCTACTGACTACATCTATGTGCTAGGCCGTGAGCACCAACAAAATGCACATCAATAGTATCCGGGGGTGGGCCGGAGGGGGCAGATAGAGATCTCGGGAGAAGTCCCGCAGCTGATGAAAAAAAAAGTCCACTTTTCTTGAAAATAGGAGGGGGCACTCCCGAAGCTCACCCAAGCTGGAACACCCAGGGGCTTCGAACACCGCTTGAGTGCATTCCGGGCCTTTGAAACATCATTTTAAGTTCCATAACCCTACATTTGGGGGACGAGGGTCCTTGAAACATCCCGTCCAGGATCCCTTCCAACCTTAATCACGAAAGAGAACCCACCTCCAGCCCACACTTTGTTCAGCCACCGCTTGCTTTTGACGACGGTACTACCAAGCCAGGGTCTCAGCACAGGCTCTGCAATCCGACCCCGCTCCAGTGCGGGCACAGGTGTCAGCCTGAGCTGGAATTATGTAATGGATTTGGCGGCCTGGGCTCCTTACCAAAGGGAATTAGAGAGCGCGAGGCTTTCCCTTTTCTTTTCCTTTTGACCACATCTGGTGTCAGGTGTACGGGATCTGTGGCAGCAGGTGTGATTTGAAGGGAAAGAACGAGCGAAATGGCGGCCAAGGTCAAAGCTGCCAGCAGGGCCTGGCATCCCCTCCTCAGCCGCTCACCTGAGGACGGCTCACAGCGCAGGTGGCCTGGAGAGGCAAAAGCCAGGCTGCCCCCCTCCTGCAGAAGCTGTGGGGGTTCTATCCTTATGCCTTTTGTTGGCCTTTTGATCCCCTCGTGAGCATGACTGAGTGTGAGTCTAGATGCAAAATCATAAACACATATGTGTATATATACATGCATACATACACACACATACACACACACAAATATATGACTAGCAGAACAGAGTGACAGGGATCCCCCCGCCCCTTTTAAGAGTAATAATAACTTTTGACAAGCAGTGCACAGGCAGGTCTCTAAATTTAAACCCAAGAGCCCATTCAAGACCCTTTCTAAGAGGCAAGGCCACAGAAGCACTCCTTACGTGGAATTGATTTCGCCAGTTTGGGTAGCTGTAGAAGGGGGATTTCAAACAGCACCAACCTGCCTTTCATTGGACAGGATGGAAAGGGTCTTTAGGAATGTGACCTCGGCTCAACAATTGGCAATGTCCTTTCTGACACCACATTGCTGCCATCCTGAAATTTGACAGCCACGGCTATCTGAAGCCTTAGACCACTAAAGGAATCGTTTGAGCCTTAAAAAAGTCACATGCTGAATTTGGGGAGTGGTCTTAATTTTTTTTAATGATAAAACAGAATCGCCTTTAAGAGATGAATATGAAGTCTAAGTCTGAACCCCCCTCTTGATTCCTGAAAGGAGTATTTATTCAAGGTGACCAAAAAGAAAGGTTAAAATGAACACAAGAGAACAGTAGCAGGAGCTCTACATAGTGGCAGGGCGCGGAGGTTGGGGATAACACAGTGGTGAGGAGATCACAGATGGCTGTGGATCCTGGCTCCTCAATTCAGATTGATGAATTTAGACAAAAACTTACAGGCTGGAAATACTCGCGTCCGAGTTACACAGATGAAGCCCCATCTCTGTAGAAGATTGCCCACTTACAGAGTTGCTGCCGAGAAAACTGGCATCCTCTCTATATTGATATTTACGTGACCCCAGAACGCCCTTGAGCGTCTGTGTTAATTATAGAAAGAACTAACAGCAATGACTACCTGTAAACAACATTTTTACAAGTCAGTGAGAGATAGGCAAGAAAAATACTAACGTCTGTGGTGGAGGTTCAAATGGCCCCGCTAATATGTCATAATCAATGTGGTATGGTGGTGAATATTCCTGTCTTCCTGGCTATTGCCAAAGCTGTTGCTTTTTGCAGGAACACTCACTGAAAAGAATCAAGGAACAATACTCCACAGCTACTCCTCTTTGGGGGGACATGTGTGAGTGTCTACGGGAATCCCTGCCATATCTTGTAGCAATTTGAATGGAGAACAGCCCAACATAAAACTGTCTCCACCCTGGCAGAACTTGGAGAGAGAAACCCTCTTTCTTCTCCTCCTCCTCCTCCTTCTCATCCTCATCCTCCTTCTCCCCAGAATCAGATCACATTTCCAAGACTCTCACAGCAGCACAAAGCCATTTGTAGCTTGGGACTCTGCTGACTTCCTCATAAAAAGTTCTACAGCTTGCAGAAAGGCAGGTTGTGCGTCTTTAGGATGTCGTCAGTGGCTATCTGGTATCTACTTAAGGATTCCTGGGCTCATTTTGTAAGTTCCTATGAGCAAATCTGACAATGTATATAAATTTAAAAGAAAAAATGGAGTGTAATTTACGAAGTTATCTGTCTCAAGTATAGAGAACTTTTGTAGGCTGCTGAGATCTTCCAAACCCAGCCACAAATAGCATTGCAGACATCTGAAATCTAAAACTGTGATTGTCACCCCCTTCTACCTCCTCTGACAGTGTCTCATAATTTCAAACAAAGATAGCCAAAGGTCTAAAAATAGTATCCAACAAGCAAGGATACTTAATTATTGTGCAGCTGTTAAATGACGAAAAATAATAAAGGTTCTTCCCCCCATATCATTGTACTATATTCTGAGTGTTGCCCTTATACAAACACTCGCTTCAGAATGTGCGGGAGATGCAGGAGATGGAGAACTTTCATCCTCAGACAGCTTTGTGAGTCTGGGAGCACCGTTGTGGCCAAGACATTTGTTCTTGGCACAGTGATCCAACGGTACAGGGTGCCCTCCGGTCTTTGTGCTTTTCATTTGGTTTCCTATTGCTGCTGTCCGGGAGAATCTTGAAAATAAATCCCAATCAGGTTGGTGAAATACTTTAATACAGTTCATAGGCAGCCCATTCTGCTCAAGGGAAATGTTTTTATTTGCTTTCAACTAACAGTTTTTCAAAGAACAACTTCATTTCCCATTTTACTTCAAACCCATGGTAGTCATAAATTAGCAATATTTTATCATTGTTATCCTGAAATAAGATCTGGCAGATAAATGAGTCCTTATGCCAGATGTTAAGCAAGCTAATGTCCAGGAAATTCTTCCTGCCATAGGATACAGCAATAGTAGTCTCTGAACTAAGCCCGCAAAATCCACAGGACTGCGAACCATTTGGTCGTCTGCAATGGGAGAAGAGAGATGATTACCGCGACACCATTGCTTTTATTGAAATTAAACAGCTTTGGGAGAATATCATTGCTAATAAAAGGCTTCTTCTCCACGCCCCTCGTGGTCCCCCCCTCCCCGACATTTTATGACATGCCATTCAAGATGAATGTAAGTAGAATTATGTAGGACCTGGCGGCCTACTGCACAAGGTCGCATCACCAGGTCAGCAAAGGAAGTGAAGATGGAGGTGATCTCACTATATTTAGGGGACGGTTGTCGGGGAAAACGCATTCACGTGTTTAGATGTCGATGTTTCAACTTTTCCTCTTTATGAATGCGTCACAATTTTTCAAACCGACCGCGTTCACCCTCTGTGGTACCCCCGTGTTTGTGCCTTCAAGGCGGCCATGAAATCATTGCATGGGGCTGGTTTAATGCGTTTAACAGAGAACTAATGGGTTGTCTGTGTCAGAAAGCATGTTCCCATTTCTAATCCCGTCACGTACTGAAGCGGTTTTGTGCGAATCTGTGGCTTCCACCTTTATCCATCCTGGACGCTCCTACTCAGGAAAACCTTTCCAAATGCTTCCAGCTTCTGACCGCTGCCAAAATGTCCTTCCTTCTGTGCTACTCATTTTCAGCCTATTTTCGTCATACTTAACAATAATAAATGATCCTTGCAGTATAAAACCTCAGTTGCAATGATCCGGTGAGCTCCTGCCTTGTTTCTCGCTTTGAAATGTAATCTCAAATACTCAATACGTTTAACTTGCTCCGCTCTCCAAGCTGCAGGAGACCAAAGCTACTTTTGTGCTGGATTTTTACCTTCTGTCTTGCCTATGTACATACGCTGGGCGCGTATATATACATGCGCTCATGCGTGAGCACAAACACACGCGCGCGCGCACACACACA